GTGTGTGTGTGTGTGTGTGTGTGTGTGTGTGTGTATGTACTTGGCTGTCCCTGAGTTGTGTCCTTTGTAATAAGCGGGTAAGTAAGGTGTTTTCCTGGGTCCTGTGAGTTCTAGGGAAGGACTGGACCTGGGGCAGGTCTTGTAGGAGCCCCTGCATTTGGCGTCTGCGAGCAGAAGCACGAGCAGCCTGGATGCCCCGTTTGCAGCCGCTGTCAGCCGCAGGCAGTCTTGTGAGGCGGACCGTGTGGGGCCTCGCTGGCTCCAGGGGGTCACGCTGGAAATGAGTCATCGGACAGCCAATTGGAGACCCTCCCCCCCAACACATTCCAAGTTGGAAGTGACATCATGAAGAGACCCCACACCCCTTAGACTCAGGCACCAGAGCTCTTGGAAACCCGGTCGGCAGCCCAGATGGAAACGTCAGATGTGCGGTCTTGGGATGGGAGGTGTGTAGGATGCTCTGAAGTCACTGTAGCTTCTGCTGACACGTGGTGGCCCGTGGCCTGGGCTCCTAGCCGGACGCTGGCTTGTGCATTCATGATGCGCTCCTGCAGCTGGAGACAGTCACTGGGAAACGTGTGACGATCATGTTAGCAGACTGGGAGGCTGTGAGCTTTGTGGCAGCATCTTTGATTTGCTTTTTTCTGATGAATGTGACCTGTGGTACAAGCAGCTTACTGAGGGTAGGCTAGGACTCAGAGATGCCAGCGTCTGCTGGTGCCTCCGGTCCACCGTCCCCCCGACTGCACGGTGTGGGGCCACGTGGGGCGATGGTCCTCGTAGTGCAGTTAGAGGAGGTATGACACGGCCCCCGGTGTCTTTCTGGTACCCGCACGTTGTCTTTTGCAGCCTGCCTCCACCCTGTCCCAGCCCCCGTCCTCCGCGTGCTGCCGGAGCAGCCTTGACAAGTAGCTGGTGCCTGAGATACACAGACCCGTGACACAATAGAGAACCTGTCGGGCTCGGAAACAGACCTGTGCACATTGCCAGCTTGATCTCTGACAGGAGGCAGCCGGCAGTGGGGAGTGCGGGCAGCTGAATGTCTGCACCAGACTGAGCGTGTGCACAGATTCCAGCCAGGCTCAGGAAACCCACGTCTGCACGACAGTCCCCAGGACACAGATCTTCAGGACCTCAGAGTAGGAAGAGATTGAATATTTGGCTGAATTAAGATAAAAAACTTCTATTCGTCAGAACAAGACGTTAGCGCAAGAAGGCAAGCCACAGGGAAGTTACTTGTAACACATTCAGATAAGAAAGGCTTGGATCTTGAATATTGAACTCTTATAGGCAGAGGAAGAGATTTTTGAACAGCTGATGTAAGAGGATGTCATTCAGGTGGCCAGCGAACGTGAAAATCCGGCCGATTTCGTTAGAGATGAGAGAAACATGCGCTCCTGGGTGGCTCTGTCGGTTGAACATCAGCTGACGCTTGATTTTGGCTCAGGTCATGATCTCATGATTCGTGAGTTCCAGCCCCACATTGGCCTCTGTGCCTATAGTGTGGAGCCTGCTGGGGATTCTCTGTCTCCTCCTCTCTGCTTCTCCCCTCTTGGTCGTACTCTCAGGGCAAACACTTAAAAAAAAAAGCGGGGGCACCTGAGTGGCTCAGTCAGTTGAGCGTCCGACTTCAGCTGAGGTCACCATCTCACGGTCTGAGTTGATTCACGTCAGGCTCTGGCTTTGATGGCTCAGAGCCTGGAGCCTGCTTCGGATTCTGTGTCTCCCTCTCTCTGCCCCGCCCCTGCTCATGCTCTGTCTCTGTCTCTCAAAAATAAATGTTAAAAAAAGAAAGCCAATGTAAAGAACCACATTGAGACGACGCCATCACGGAAGGGCCACCTGGGAAGACTGGCTGCGCCAAGCGGGCAGCAGCAGACGCTCTGCTTTCTCGGGAGGACTGCGCGTTGGCGCAGCTGTGTGTCGGGGCAGGTGTCTCCCGATAACCCTGATGGCGTCTGGCGCTCTCGCCAGCAAATCGCTTCGTAGGTCTGCATCCGATGGGCGGAAGCGGGACTCCGTGAGAGCCATAAGGAGCGTTCGGAAGCATGATGGCTGCCGTCCCCCACCCGAACGGGCCATGGATCCAACAGAACCCCCAGCCTGTGGGCGCCAGCCATGGCGAATGGCTGCGTCGCGTGTCCACCAGCACTCAGTGGCCCCCGCGTCCAGCCCCCAGGTGGTGCCGTTGGGCCCTATTTAGCCTGGCACCCCGCCCCCACCTCAGCCGGGGCGGTCCCGCTGCTTGCGATGCTTCGGGGCGTCTGAGAATCATGTCCCCGTTGTGGGACGGGCCGGGACTGTTCTCGAGCTCTCCCGCCTGCTTGATTCCCCAGACGTGCACGTGCACCACCCACAGCCCCTCCCCAGCCTGTCCCTGCCCAGCACGAGGCTGCAGGGTGGACGCCGTGTCCGTGGAGACGCCTCTTCCGACAGGCAGGCTCCCTCTGGGGGTGGGGGCTCCATCTGGTCCTTTGCTCACAGCCCGTGCAGGGGTTTAGATTGGACTGAGTTTATCCCAGGAACTCAGTCGGTGGGCCCGTGGGAGAGCAAGCCTGGCAGAAGGTAGTGCCTTGCCCTGCAGGCCGTGGTTGCCGGGGGTATTCGGTGCGGAGGGTCCGGTGCTGAGACAGCTCTCTGAAGCCACAAAACCTGGCTAGAAGCAGCTTGGGATGTGTGTAACGGATGTCAATTTTTAGTAAGTTTAAGGATGTAGGCTTCCTTCTGGTAACAGCTTGGGTAGCTTGAATCCATGGGATGCTTTGCTCTGCTTAATCACGTTTAGTGAGAAATTACCTTCGTCCTAGACACGTTCGTCCGGCTTCTGACAGACGGGAGCACAGAGCAGCGGTCAGGAGCCAGTGTCGGGTGGCGTCAGGGCCAGAATGTGCAGCTGGTGTGGAAATAAGCACACGAGAGAGTTTAAACCTTCAAAACAATTGAAATCTCTTCAGATGCTGTTGACACCCTTTTCTGAAAACTGAGTTGAAAGCATCCCAGTCGGTGGTCCCTGCTGGCCCAGCAGGTCACCGGACACCTGTGCAGGTGCCACCGGGCGGGTGTTTGTAGCTTCAAGGAGATGGCTGCGTGTCCCAAGAGTCAGGGCTGGGAGGGTGGCTGGCTCCACCGTAGGTAGAAAATCCAAGCTGTGTCCTTTTTTGTCTCCGGCAGGCTCCTGGGTGGAATTGCATTTCAGCAATAATGGGAATGGGAGCAGCATTCCAGCCTCTGCTTCTATTTATAACGGCGACCTGGAAAAAATCCTGCTGGACGCCCAGCACGAATCTGGACGGAGTAGCTCCAAGAGTTCTCACTGTGACAGGTGGGTGTAAGTACGCACGCGCATCCGGTGCTGACGGCCCAGTGCTCGAGCGGTCACGGTGGTAAGTGCTGCTTGAACCTGAGCTCGGCGCACGTTCAGGAGCGGCCCTCCCCCTCTCCGTCCCTCCTTAGAGAGAGGGACCCTCGCCCTCTGGCAGGAGGGATGGGGCCTGGTCTGTGGAGGGACCACAGTAAAGGGGGGGGTGAGGGTGGGGGGCAGATCCCACACCTGGTCCCCCGGCCTCTGCTCCCCGTGGGTCCCGGCTTTGTCATCTGGGTCACCACGAGCTGCTGGGCGTCAGCACTGCCGGTGAGTTGGGGCAGCGTGGCCTGGTCAGAAACCAAAGCTCAGGTGCTCGCAGGCCTGTAGCAGAGCACCAAGCCACGCAGAGCGAGCCTGCGGGCCGCGTCGGGTCCACCCCCGGGCCTGGCTCCCCGCTGCCCGCGCCGCTCCACTGACGAGGCCGCACGGTCTGGCGCTGGCCTGGTGCCAGCGCTTCCTGTCTCGGGAGGTGGCCCCGGGCCGCCGGGTGCTTCGTTTGTCGGGACGGGAATAACGTGCCCGCCTCGCTCTTTTCCCATTCTCGCGTGCGTCACTACCAAGCCCGCCTCGCTCACAGACTCCGCAAGATACGAACCGAGCTTCGGAGATAGACGCCCACAGCGTGGGAGAAAAGAACAGCTCTCAGGTAGGCCGGAGCGGGCTGCGCGCCGGGTGCCATTTTGACGTTTGTATGGTAAGCCTGTCCAGTGGAGCTGAGGAGGGGAGGCTCTGGTGTTCTTAGGGGGGTCTCTTGCCTTTTTGTAAAGCCAGGGGTGGGGGCAGCGACAGCCACCGCTCGGGCCTCACACCCAGCGGGCCAGAGAAGTGCGGCTCAGGTCAGGTAGGGGGCCTCCGCTGCCCTCCCGTGCCGTCCCGAGGACACGCGGGAGGGAGGTGGGTTGTCCTGGGCCTGCAGCCTGGACAGGGGCCTGTGTGGCCAGTGAGAAGGGTGGCTGGGAGCCCGGGAGCGGGTGGCCTTGGCTGTCGGATGGTGAGCGCGTGTTCCAGGGTCCGCTCTTTGGGAGAGCCCGGTGTTATCCACAGAGCCTTTCATGACCCCCTACCATCGTGACGCTGACACCCCTTCCTCGATGGATGCTGTAGACCCTTCCAGAAACGATGCCTTAGGCCGTGCTGACTGTTGTTGGCATAATTCATGTGAGGAGCACACAGGCCAGTTACTTCAGTCTGAGGTCACTTTTTTAACATTTGCCCAAGTAGTTAATGGGTCTTACTCGCCAGGTGCTTCGGTTGTGTTGTGGGGGCTCCAGTCTGAGAGCGTCAGGCCCTCGTGCCGTGGGGCTTCTCCAGTCCCCCCCAACCCCCCACTCCCTCTCCCCGCTGCACCTGCGTATGTTGGAATGCGCAGAAAGTGTTTTTGTTTTTTTTTAATGTTTTATCTTCTTTTTGAGAGAGGGAGAGACAGCGTGAGCGGGGACGGGGCAGAGAGAGGGAGACGCAGAATCCAAAGCGGTCTCCAGGCTCCGAGCTGACAGCACAGAGCCTGACACAGGACTTGAATTCTTGAACCACGAGATCATGACCTGAGCCGCAGTCGGATGCATAACCGACGGAGCCACCCAGGCGCCCCTCCAGGAAGTGTTTTCTTTGGGTGTTCTCGGTAATTACAAGAACACGAACAATTGACTTCCTTTCCCATATTTATTTCAAAGTCTCTTAGGAAGCAAGGTCTTGAAGTACCACTGAGTCACTTGATCCTGTGGGGTCTCCCCTCAGGGCCTCCCTCCCACCTAGGTTCTTCCAGGACTGTCCCTGGTCCCCCGGGTATCCTGACGGTGCCCCCAGGCAGCTGGTTTGTTTTGCTGATGCATTCTACAGTATTTCCAAAGTTTTTAGTGGTTTTTCAGATTTTAAAGGAGGAATTACAGGATATACTAAGGTATAGATAGAGGTTTTATTTTTATTTTTTTAAGTTTTATTTATTTTGATGAGAGAGGGAGCATGCCAGGGAGGGGCTGAGAGAGAGAGAGAGAGAGAGAGAGAGAGAGAGAGAGAGAGAGAGAGAATCCCAAACAGGCTCCACACTGTCAGCAGGGAGTCCGACTCAGGGCTCAAACTCACGAACTGAACCGTGAGATCATGACCTGAGCCAAAATCAAGAGCTTTACGCTTAGCCAACTGAGCCCCCCCCAGGTGCCCCAAGTAGAGCTTTTGAAATGCAAAAAAGAAAACTCTGTGATCCTGCTCTTTAGTCCCCTGTGATTAGTGTCTTGTCTTAGGATTTTAAGATGTAGCTTGAAATCACAGGTGCAGGTATGTTTTTGGGTTTTTCACTCCCACTGAACACAAAATCGTTCTTTTAAACTTGATCAAGGGGCACTGTGCCCTTCAGAGCTTGTTTTGGGTTTTAGATGGTTTTTATTTGCTTGTCTCACAACCAGCCCCGTGGTCGGCATCTTTGTGCGGCCCCTTTGTCCTCTATCCTCACTTCACGTGGCTTCCTTGGGACAGTGTTTGCAGCCTCAGTGTCGGTCCCAGAAGCGAGCCCCCCAACCTGCCGTCCACCCACCACCCGTGGGCCTCCAAGCCCGGCCTGCGTGACAGCGCGTGGGTGGACGGCGGCATTCTGTGGCGGGGCCGTGAGGGGCTGACACACTGTTCACGTCGACTCTGTCGCAGTCCGAGGAAGATTATATCGAGAGGAGGAAAGAAGTCGAGAGCATCTTGAAGAAAAACTCCGACTGGATATGGGACTGGTCCAGTCGGCCGGAAAACATTCCCCCCAAGTGAGTGTCCTCGGTGTCGCGGGGTCTCGGTGGACCTGGAGCGCGGCCGCTCACTCGCGTGTGTCCCCCCAGGGAGCTCCTCTTCAAGCACCCGAAGCGCACGGCCACGCTCAGCATGAGGAACACGAGCGTGATGAAGAAGGGGGGCATCTTCTCGGCGGAGTTCCTGAAGGTCTTCCTCCCGTCCCTGCTGCTCTCGCACCTGCTGGCCATCGGGCTGGGGTGAGTGAGGCCGCGTGAGGCTGCCCCCGGGGAACCGGGTCCCAGTCAGCTTACGCAACCTGCGTGTGGCCAGGCACGGGACTCGGACCCTGGCCTGAGACCCTGGAGGTGCCCCTGCCTCATCTCCCGGCCCCACCGCGGGGGTGGCCCCCCGACTGAGCCCTGACAGCAGAGGCTCGTCCCGCCCGGTGCTTTCGTGGCGTCTGGCTCGTCAGCACGGACGGCCCGTGTCCTGTGTCGTCCCGGGCCACGCCTACCACGCACAGGCGTGTCGCGGCCTGGCTTGGCAGAGCCGGGGAAACGGGCCTTCGCGCCCCCTGGCGTCTGGTGCCGCTTGCCCGGTGTGGTCCCAGCCTCTGTGCGGGTGGGTGGTGGTCTCACGAGCCCGGGCGCGCCTCATCCCGCTGTGGTTGTAGCTTGTGGGACGGTCCGCGTGGTCAAGATGGGCTTCTGATTCAGGCCGGCACCCCCTGGCCGGAGGGCTCGGGTCCGGGGAGAGGGAAGCCAGGATGACCGAGCCGCTGACGCACGGCACCCTCGGCTTCCTGAGCCCCGTGGACGGGGAACCCGAGCCTCGGGCCCTTCCAAGTTTGGGGGCAGGTGGGAGCTTTCTGGCCGGCCCAGCGGCCGTGGGGGTTGGGGGGGGTGCAGAGCTGCCCGCCCCACCCTCCCTTCTGAGGCTCAGACCCTACTTCCGCCTGGGAAGTGGCTTCCCCAGGGGCCGGACCCCGTCCCCCTCACTGCCCGGGGCTCGGTCTCCGGCACGGCTGTGTTCTGGCCAGAGTTTCTCCCGAGTCCAGCTCTGGACTGTTCTCCATAGCTAGCGAGTCAGATGGACGCTGCTTAAACGCCTGGTTTGGGCCTCCATTTCAGGGCTGATGTCTGCAGCTGGCGCCCAAGGGGCAGAGCTTGCTGGCCCTCGGGACTAAGTCCGTCTTTGGTCCACCCGAGGCGGCTCCCCTGAGGACGGGTGGGCTCGTGCCTGAGCTCTCCTGCTGGGCCCGCCGGCCCCTTTATTTCTGCCCCCCTCTCGATCAGTCCGAGCCTGACCTGCATGCTGCTTTCCGGGCCCCGCTCTCGCCCCTGGCCCCGGACCGCCTGAGGGCAGCGCTTTGTTGCTCGGGGATGGCCCTGGTGAGGCTGGCGGACGCGAACCCACGGCGAAGCCGCCGGGTCCGCTTCGAAAGGAGCGCCATGGCCGTTGTGTTGTGAGAGCATCTCTGCTTGCTTTGTGGCCTCCTCTGTACTTAGAACGCAGCTGGATCTCTAAACGCCATTACAAAATACCATGACAAATCACTAAGCGTTTGATAAGGTTGTAGACGCTCCTCACAAAGTTCTTAGGACTGGGTGGCAAAGAGGCTGTCCCCTTGCATCCGCTGCCCCCGCCAGGCCGTGAGTGGTGCGCCCACCTAACTGCTCATTGTTCTCTCTGAAGGATCTACATCGGAAGGCGTCTGACCACCTCCACCAGCACCTTCTGATGAAGAATCAGAGCCCGGCTTTTCCCCGCGGCCGGATCGCCGTGGGGGCCGCGGCAGCACCAACGGAGGCCTGTCCCGACCCCAGGAAGCCGCACCACTTGGTTCTGTAAACGCTGCGTTTCCGCCTTTAGTGAGATGAAAGAAAAGACAGAAGAACCAGGCTAACCCGTAATCGTATCTGTGGGATCAGTTAGTGCGCATGTCGTGTTGGTTAACATCTGCTGTAATAATTCGGTAGTAAGTTCTCTTTGGATATTATAAGTAAGTAAATAATTTTAACATGCTAGATACGATGTATGTAGTATTCTGGCAGATTATCTGTAACCAGTTATTCAGTTAAAATACTCTATATTTGCAAAGAATGAACGTTTATTAAAATGACTACATGAGGGGTTTATCCCGAGTAAATATTGTGGCCTTATATTCACACTATTATAGGAAAGACTACATTCAAGTGGATGCAGGTTGTCTCCTAAAGACATTTAACTCTTTTAACGCAGAGTTCTTTGTCACGCCGTAGAATCCCGGAACAAATGCAGGTTCCGCTGTACTGCTGGGACACGAAGCCGTGCGTCCCTGCGGGGGGGGGGGGGGACTTCCGTCTGGGTGGCCACCTTGGACGCTTGCCTCCTGCCCAGGGCCCCTGTCCGTGTCCTCCTCTCCTCTCACTCTGGACTGCTGGATCTAGTCCTCCCCGTGGTGTTGGGGTTTCGTGTGTCTTAGAATCTGCTCCATCCTGAGAGCAAACCTGTGTCTACTTCAAAAGACTGGAAATAGAGAAAAAATAAATCTTTGCCAAATCCTCGAGAGGACTGTAGTCACGTGGTTTAAAAGTGTTCTAAAAGCTTTGTGGGTGAACCAGGCGTACGTCCCCTTGTCCCCTTTACCTTTCCACGGCATGGCGGTGGCGGCGGCCTCTCGGACGCACCGTACAGATCCTCCTGTATCTGTTCTGCACCCGTACACTACGTTCTGTTGTGTTAAAAATAAATAACATTTCGAGTTTTTAAAATTTCCGTTTATATTTAAATGATTACCTCAGGTATAGCAGCTCACAGCCGTCTCATTTGCAGAAATTTCTGCTGCTTGAATGGGGTCGGAAACCTTCCCGGCGCTTGACTTCTGGAAGATCGGTTCGGTCACGTGGAAATGCTCCGGCCGTGACAGACAGCAGGGGGTGCCCGTCTGTCAGGAGAAACGGGCTGGTCCCTCTGCCGCTTCTGTCCCGAGCGGCCAATGGCCTGATCCAGGGGGCTGCACCCAGCGTGGCTGAGCGGGGTCCTGCGTCTCCAGGGTTGGTGCCCCTTGAGCACGGTTGACTCCCCTGTCGCCCTCTGGGTCATCACTTTTGCCCCGCTCTTGGTGGCACTAGCTGAGCCCTGGGCAAATCTGGCTGGAAGCCCCCGAGGGCGGTCAGGAAAGTGCTTTCCCCCGAGTGACACCGGGAATGAGACCGGGCTCTCTGGAGGCCCCTCCCCAGAGTGTGTGTATTGGCAGGTGTCTCTCTTTTGTCCTTCCTTTCTGGCGTGGTAACAGCACACAGTAACAGCTTTTGCCAATAGCCCTTTTTACTGTTCACTTTACTTGCTGAAGAGTGAGTTTAGGCGTCTGGGTGACTTAACGTGCTGCAAACAGTCTTGGGTCTAAAGAGAGAAGCCTGCAGTTGCCACTTTTAACTGAGTTTTCTGGTCCAGACACCTGCAGACTGGGTGGGGCACTTGGGGGTGGGGCGGGAACCCATCAGCACCTTGACAACCACCTGTGCGTTGCTGTGACCTGTGACCCGTTCTAGGAATCCTCCCTGAGGATCACCCTGTAAAAGTCCGTTTCTAGCAGCGTGTCACGGGAGAGGCCCCCCCCCGCAGAGGGTGCGCCAGCCGTGTGGGCAATCGGCTTGGACACCACACGGGTCCTCCGGCATCGGGCGAGCTGCCCCAGGCGACCCTGTTCAGAGCTGGACCCACTACGGCCCAAACTGCAGGCTGATGAACAAAATAAAGACGTATTTGAAAAAAGAGCGTAACCGATGGTGTGCTATCATTCGTGCAAAAATGAGCCAAGGAGGCCCCTGCTCCTTATGAAGAAACCCGTGACCACACCAGAGGAGCAGGTGGGGGCAGCAGGTATGGGGGGCGGGATGGAGGGGAAGGAAGGTGCAGGCCTTTTCCGGGACGGACTCGGCACCTCCACGGTGCCTCGCGAAGCCAAAATCAATCATTGGAAACGTTTCCGAGATCATTCAAAATCGAATGCAAACAAGGAAATGGGAGGATTCCTGAGGCCACGCTGGCGGCGGGGCAGGTGTTCGGAGCTGCGAACGAGGAGGACACGGATCCGGAGGAAGAGGGCGGGCCGGAGAGTGAATGGAACTCAAGGTCTAATAGATGCGGGGGAGGCACGCACATCCTGTGGGGGAGGGGTCTCCCAGCTCCAGCCTCGGGGCCTCCGGTGAGCACTGCCAGCTGGCGGGTCCGGATCCGGTCCCTCAGGCCACAGGTAAAGTGAGGCCGTGAGGTCATGACCCGAGCTGAACTGAAATGGCCACGGGGTGAAGCACGGCTCGAGGGAGAAGTGGGCTCCGGGGCAGTGGGGTCCGGAACACACACACACCGGAGAGTGGGCTCCGAAGCCGGCACAGGCAAAGGACACGGGAGACAAGGTGAAGGAAGTGCCAGTGGCCCAAAGCGGGACAAGAAACAAGCATGGTGGCGCGGTGACGGGCAGGCGCCCTCGTCCACGCCGGCAGCAAACAGGTGGGAGGAATATACGGGTCTGCGAGTTGCGGGTCCCCGTCAGGCACACGCGGGACCCACGGACGCCGCAGAGTGAGCGTGGGGGGCAGCCCCACTACCCCCCTCCCCCCCCACGGTGGTCGCAGAGACCAAGGCGTCGTGAAGACGCCTTGCAGCCGGGGTGAACCCCCACACGGGCCGTCTGCCTGCGAGGTCGGCCGCCAGCGCACCCCGGGGAAAGGGCCGCGTGTCCAGCAGACAGCGCCAGCAGGACTCGCCCCGGGCCGCCGTGGACAACGTGACGCAGGGGGCCTGACTGGCTCTGGGTGAAGCCTGCGACTGTCTCAGGGTTGTGAGTTCGAGCCCCACGCCGGGTGTAGAGATGATTTAAAGATAAGATCTTAAATCTCAACAATGGATTTAGGACCAGAAACCAGAAGCCAGACAAAAACAGGCCGTGAGCTCCCTGACATTGGTCTTGGCGACAGGTTTTTGGATTTGACACCATTCACAAAAGCAACAGAAGCAAAAATAAACCAGTGGGGCTGCACTAAAAACCTTGTGCACACCGACGGGAGCCACCAACACGGAGCAGAAACCAAGTACACGGGAGCCAAGATCTGTGACGCGGAACCGACACTCTAAGTAACACCAGTCGGGTTAGATAGAAAACACGACGGGTTATTTCTCCGAAGAAGACATCTGGGCACGCGAGATGCTCAACGTCACCCCCTGCACGTGTGCGAGGCTCCCAGTCTCCGGGCGACGTCTGGGCCCAGGAGCGGAGCCCGCGAGGAGCGTCAGTGGTGCCCCGAGGGTGTCGGTAAAAGGCTGCAGAGCCTAAGAGGTTCATCCGCAGCCTGGGAAGGTCTGTCCCCACCAAGCACACCTGCAAAGCCCTCTCTGAACGGACTGGTTTCCAGTGACTTACCAGACACTCTGGTTATCAGAGGAATCCCAGGTTTGTTGCTCACGACGTCCTCAACTGCGCGGGGGTCGAGGTCGACAGCAGTTGTCCTAGCCCAGCGCTGGCATCCTGGCGGCTGGCAGGCCCGTGTTCCGGGGACCGTGCTGCATGAAGCAGGACAGGAAGGACAGGCCAGGTGATCCTGGATGGCGGCCACCCAGCCTCCCACCCGCTGGGGCCGCTGCCCGCCCTGGACACTGAATGGTGGGACCCCACCTTCGCGCACACCCCAAGTAGAGGGATGCACTGTCAGATGAGGTGCCGACGACCCCAACAAGCCCCGGGCCCAGATGACCCCGCCGCACGTTCTCCTGCCGGGGAGTCCCTTCTCTCAGGGCCACAGCTCCTAGGTCAAGGCCACGCTCGGGTGTGAAAGCTCCCTGTGTGCTGCGCTCACCCGCCGTCACCAGCCCTGCGGGGGTGCGGGGTGGGCCCAGGGGCAGTGCGCACACGCCTGAGCCCGCCACCTGTGACCGCGTGCCGCAGGGCGGCCACCTGTCCCCTGCCGCCAACTCGCAGGGCCCGTGTGCAGCAAGCACCTAGAAAGAAGGGGCCGCCACCATCAGGGTGAGCGCCCACGCGTCATACCCCACTCCTCCCTGAGACAGCCCTGGGTGTGTGTGGGGGGGGCGGGGGGCTGCCCCACCCGTACTTGGCCCCGAGCACCAGCCGCGTGGAGACCCCTCACGGGGCACAAGTACTGCCCTGTCTGCGCCGGACACCGAAGGACCGGGGTCCCGGTCAGGTATCCCACCGGCTCATACGAGACTTTCCCGGACGCGCTCCACTCTCCCGGCAGAGCACCCGAGCCCTGTCCTAATGGAAGTGCGCGTTCCATCCCCGCTCAACATCCCCGACACGATCCCAGGGCCAAGCCCCGCCTCAGACCTGGGTTCCGTGCAGAGCGGCGTCCTCCGGACAACAGACACCTGCTGTCCCTTCTCCTGCAGAGCCAGGGAGCTGCTCACTCGGGGCTCCCACTGCTCTGACCCCGTCCCGGACACTCCCCCGGAGAGGCCAATGGCTGCGGGTCCGTGGACACAGCACACGTTTGGAAGAAAAAAGCCCAGGTGCCAATTCTGACATTCGTCTCGACCCCCTTAAGCAAGACTTGCAGACATTTCCTCCTTAAAGCAACGTAGCAACAGAGCCCGGCTCGGCCTGGTCAGAGCGGTCCGCTCGCACTGACCAGGGATGCTCTGGGGACGGGCCTCTGGTTCGGAGAAGTGGGGCCGCTCAGCTCCTCAGGACAGCAGGTGGAAACGTGGCATTTGTCGTGCTGTCCCGTCACCAGTGCCAGTGATCTGCAGACACAGGACAACCAGGCTGAGTCTCACACTGACTTTCAGAAGCTCCATTTCTCATGAATAAAGATTATCCATCCCGACCCAGGTCACTGGCCTGCGTAGAGCACGAAAACTTCTAGGAAAACAGCAGCACGGGACCCTAAGAATGAAAACAATTCACACAACTGACTTTGAGGAAGAGACAATTTCTGGATTTGTAAACGAGAAAAGGGGAACGTTTTAGAAAATACGTATTTCATGAAGAACATAAATGAGCGAAATAAATGACGTCTGAAAACTAGGGATTTTCCCTCGTCAGGGGGACAAAAGGCTCACCTGGAAATGCACGTCGAGGAGGAAGCAGTGCAGGGGAGACATGCCCGCCTCTCGAGCGTGCATCCCGCACAGGTCCCAGCTCCTGAGAGCAAGCGGGGAACCCCGGAGTGGCAGAGGGCGCCACCGGGGTCCGCGCCCCGGCGTTTCCCCTCTGCTGGGTCCCCCGCGACGCAGAGGCTCAATTTCT